AATCTACCCATCTGACAAAGGACTTATACCCAAAATCTACTAAGAACTAAAACAGATTTACAAGGAAAAAACAAACCCATTCAAAAGTGGGCAAAGGATATAAACAGACACTTTTCAAAAGAAGACATATATGAGGCCAAGAAACATGAAAAAATGCTGATCATCACTGGTCATTAGAGAAATGCAACTCACTGAGATATCATCTCATGCATTAGAATGATGCTAGTTAGAATGGCGATCATTAAAAAATCGGGAGACAACAGATGCTGGAGAGGATGTGGAGAAATAGGAACACTTTTACACTGTTGGTGGGAGTGTAAATTAGTTCAGCCATTGTGGAAGACAGTGTGGTGATTCCTCAAGGACCTAGAAATAGAAATTCCATTTGACCCAGCAATCCCATTACTGGGTATATAACCAAAGGATTATAAATCGTTCTATTATAAGGACATATACACACATATGTTAACTGCAGCACTGTTTACAATAGCAAAGATTTGGAACCAACCCAAATGCCCATCGATGATAGACTGGCCAGGGAAAATATGGCACATATACACCATGGAATACTATGTAGCCATAAAAAACAATGAGTTCGTGTCCCTTGTGCAGACATGGATGAACCTGGAAACCATCATTCTTGGCAAAATGACACAGGAACAGAAAATCAAGCACCACATTTTCTCAGGCAGGTGTTGAACAGTGAGAGCACATGGACACAGGGAGGGGGGCATCACACACTGGGGACTGTTGGGGGGACAAGGGGAGGGACTGTTAGGGGTAGGTAGTTGGGAAGGGATAACATGGGGAGAAATGCCAGATATAGGTGATGGGGTTGGAGGCAGCAAACCACATTGTCATGTAGGTACCTATGCAACAATCCTGTATGTTCTTTCCATGTACCCCAGAACCTAAAATGCAACAAAATATATATATTTAAAACAAAAAGGTTAAACATCAGCATGCAAGTTAAAACCATAGTGAGATACTCTATTAGAATTGCTAAAATTAAAAGACACCACCAAATGTTGGCAAGGATATGAAACTGGAACTCTCATGAGGGTAAAACAGTACATATAGCCGCTGTGGAAAACTTTTTGATAAGTTTGTTATAAACCTACCCTAGGACTCTGCAATTCTACTTCTAGTTATTTCACAAAAGAAGTGAAAACATAAGTCCACAAAGAATGTTCATAATAACTTTAACAGTAGCCTCAAACTGTAAAAAATAAAAATAAAAACAAAAATGCCCATAAAGAGAAGAAAGGACAAAATGTGGTACGTTCATGCAATGAAACACTACTCAGTAGCAAAAGGCAACAAAACCACGGATCCTGGCACCACATGGATGAAATCTCACGGACATGCTGAGAAGAAAGCCACACACAAAAACGAACACACTATATTTCATTTACAATAAAATTCAAGAGTAGGCAAAACTAATCTATGTCAATAGAAATCAGAAAATGGTTGCTGGGACAGGACCAAGAAGGGAATAAATTCACTGCAAAAGGGCACACGGGAACTTTGACGGAAGAGTTCTTAACCTGGGGTAAGGATTACACAGGTGTACAGATTTATCAAAAGTGATTGAACTGTAATTCCAAAACCTATATATTTTACTGTATACAAGTTATATTTGAATACAAACAATTTTACCTTAAATTAGTATTTAAAAATTTGATTTATCAGGGGGCTCCCTGGCTCTGTTCATAGAGAAGTTTGGTGACTTTATCTCCATTTACAATAGCCTTGTTCTTTAAGTCAGTTAGCTCTTCATTAGAAAACTTGAATTATTTTTGAATTCACTAAATTTTCTAGTGAAATGCTTCTAATTTTTTTGTGCTAAATTTTTTATTCATTATTCATCATGTTCTACTTGTACATTAGAAGTTAAAGACAGTAATTGCCCTAAAGATAGTCCGAACACTCCTTTTTAAATATAAAAACAGATGCCTAAACTGGTTTGTCTAGGATATTCTTATTTCATCTCAAAAATACATTACATAAAACCTGCATTGTCATCGTTTGTAGATACTAACTGGGCAAACACAACAGCTTAATTTTTTAAGCAGATGTAGATTAGACAATTAAGTCTGTTCTGACTGGCAACCGAGGAAGCAGTGAACGGGTGTCAGGAAACTGGACTATTTTATACATAAGTACACATTCTATCAGTTGTTTTTCAAAAGCACGTATTTTCTGTGAACCACGGCATTTCCAAATTCACAAGTGCCCCTGGCTGGCTTTTTCTAGCTGAGGTGTGCTGGTCTTTACAGCTGGTACATTCCCATCAGACCCTTTCCCAGGAACTGTACTGATGATGATCTATAAAACCTGGGTAAAAACTGCATTTTAAAAAACTGCACCCAGTGAAAGGCATAAATGATATCCCTGTACTACAGTGAAAGGTAAATGTAGTAAAATTTAACTTGAAACAAGTTTGGCAGTGCTGGTTGTGATGAACAGAGAGAGGCTTAAAATGCTTAAATAAAGGAACACTTTTAATTATATAAGAAAAATTTTATTTGATAAACATAACTTCATAAACTTTAAAAAATTATTGAGAGCTGTACAATAAGTATACTATATTTACTGACAATGCAGATAATTTTTAGAGGATTAGACAGCCACAGTGTCTCAGGTCCAAATTTAAGTATTGCTACAGTATTTCTAGATACTCATTCCTCATGAAAATCTAACAATCACCATTATTACAAACATGTTGTTAGTTATGGTCTGCTTTTTATAGGAACATCATTCAAGTTATTTCACATAAAACAGCACTTTAATAATGTTTTACTTTTGTGAAAATAGATAACTCATTTCAAAATAGAAGTAAAATGTCTATAAGTGGGGATGAAAATTAATAAAACATTTTACCGTAACTCTTTGGTGTGTTGTTTTTATTAATACCTGCTTGTATCATACCCCAAACTGATCTTTATAGGAAAAACAGCAACATGGAAGATTTTCCCTTTTCTTACAGCCTCCATGAGATTTTCAGAGTAGCATATTTTAAAAACTTTTGGCTCTTGTCAATTTTCTAGTGGCCTTGACTCCTGCCTATCAGGAGTCTCAAGCTATCAGGTAAGTTCAATCTCACTACCTTTTGCAGTAGAAATGACCTCAGTCCTGGGACTAATAATAGGGCTGAATGCAGGCATTTCCTAAGGTTGATTTGCCTCTGTTAAGTCTCCCGTTCAGGATAGTGCCTGGGTTTGGATCAGGTCTGGAAGCCTTTGTATGTCATGAGCTTTAGACCCAAGGCAGGCAGAAAAGTCAGACCATAAATTCTCCCCTTTTCTCAACTTGACAGCAGATCTTTGTAGCTGTACTTCTCCCTGGCCCACACTTTGCTTCGCCCAGGGTGAGCCTATGCCTGCGAAAGCTGAGGCAGGGTGCTGAGTCACTTAGAGCAGCTGAGGGGCAATTTTGGAAACTGACTTGTGCTTGCCACTATCTTCAGGCTTACAGCCCTCAGATGAGGCAAAGGCAAGCAAGTGAGGCAAATAGATATGAGACCACTGATTAGCAATAACGTATTTAGCATTTTGCTCTGGTTTTGGCAGATAAGGGTAAGTTAACTATCAACATCATATTTCCAAAGAATTTTAAAGAAATATGCAAAGGGCATACTTTGTAGTAATAATTTTACAAGATGAATATAGCAGTAGAAAACTACAGAAAGCTTGTAGACTGCATTGTTACTTTCTTAAATAGAAAACTCTAAAATTACAAGGTAATTTTGCTTTAAAAATGAACCGGATTTGGAGTTAACAGTTCAGGATAAGCACACTAGTGGATGCCATTTATTTTTTTTAAAAAAATAAAGTTCTCCTTAACTTCAAATGGTGAATGGAGAAAATTACATCAATCACACTTTAAGCACCATTTTTGGTGAGCTGACCTCCTGTCTTGCTGCAGTTGGTCATAGGCTACTTTATGACTTTGGAGTGTTTGTCTAGTGTGTTGCTACTCAGTTTATTTGATGGCAAATAAACACTGGAATGTAGATGTAATGCAGGCGTATTGAATGTCACCTTGTTGTGTGTACATTTTATGAGCAAATTTCCATATTATCCTCCACTAACGTACTCTACTGAGTATATCTGCAGTATTTTCTTTTCTGGAACATGAATTGGTGAATGTACACATTGTACGTTGTGTTATTCAAAGTATTTCCAGAATAACACATCTTCCTAAATCCAACTATGGAATATCTAAGTTAAAAAGAAGGACTATTTTTGAAAATTAATATTTAGCTTAATAACTTAATACCGCTGCATCACTGGAACAAATGTTACATTAGCAAGAAAAGAGTTTACTAGCAAACAAAGAAAGTCTTAATTTTGGTCTCTACCATACTTTCCCTGCCAGCCCAATTCTAAAAGTCTTGTATTCACGAAACGGGAAGGAAGCTTAGGCTGCAAAATAAATCTCCAAAAAGGAATGATATTTTTAAGCGAAAACTTAGTAAAAACTTACTTAACCATTTTCTTAGTAGGTATACAACCGTTATTTGCTTAGAGCTGGGTGACGGTTCTTTTTTTTTCTGGGACAGTCTTGCTTTGTCTTCCAGGCTGATGTGCAATGGTGAGATCTCAGCTCACTGCAACCTCCACTACCCAGGTTCAGACAATTCTCCTTTCTCAGCCAACCGAGTGACTGGAATTATAGGCTCCTGCCACCATGCCCAGCTAATTTTTGTAGAGATGGGGTTTCATCATATTGGTCAGGCTGGTCTCAAACTCTTGACCTCAGGTGATCCGCCCACCTCAGCCTCCCAAAGTGCTAGGATTACAGGCATGAGCCACCACACCCAGCCTTGGGTAATAGTTCTTAAGCTAATAATCACTTCTAAATCTTAAGACAACATTACTTTTCAATAAAACAAAAACAAATGACAACACTGAACCTACCTGATCAATTCAGGATAGAAGTTAGGCTCTGAAGTGCGATGACTTATTACAGTAACATGGTAACATGTACCCGGTTAATCATTCTCAGCATTTTAATTTATTGCTGCCGTTACCTGATACTAGCATTTTAAACTTTAACAATTTACGTTCCATAGCCACACCTGAAAATATGCCTTGCACTGGGACACTGGCAGAATTTACTTTATTGTGGGAGTTTCCTATAACTTAGATAACATGGTAACCTGAAAATCACAAGATTATTAACTGAAACCCTTTATTCTAAAATCTAGCATACAGAAAGGAAAGAGCAATTCTGAGTTGGCCACAGAAAGAGGCTCTTCTTTTTTTTTTTTAATAGATTTAATTACTCATACTATTCTGATTTGTATAATTAAACATATTTGCAATATTTAAATACTGTCCAAACTTTTTATTGATATAAACTTTACAATGATGTCATGAAATACTATACACAGAGCCTTCAGGTAAAGAGGAAAAAAAAGCAAATTTAAATATGGTAACCAGATTAAAGCATGCAAAAGATCCAATGATAAAGACATTAAATTCATAATATGCTAATGGTATCTAATTTACCCACTATAGGTTCTTCATATTCTGTCACAAAAATTGTTAACATCAATTGGAAGTTTGGTGAACGAACCTGATTCCTGACTTGTATATATGATACACCCTTGCATTTATATGGCTAACTTTACAGGCCGTGGGTTACAGCAGAGTTAGAGGAATTGGTATTGGTAGAAATTTACTCCCCATACTGCTTAAGCAACGGTTGGAAATGATTCTCCTAATTTGCTCTGTGAACTTAGAACACACTAATGAATTAACAACACAGGTCACTGAGGGACCAAAATTCCTCAGTATTCACATTAACTTTTCCCAGGAAAAGCTTCAAATATAACTCTAATAAAAAAATAGAGTTCTCAAGGCAAACTTTCAGCATAATTTACATAAGCAGATTTAAATAGAAGAGTCAATAAGCAAGCTAATACTAAAAAATACACTTTACTAAGATTTATCTTTTTTCCTGCATTTATAATAAAATATAATGGCCTCAGCAACAGACTGAAATGCTATCAGGAGTCCCATAAGCACAAGGGACAAACCAGACAGATGAAAAATGTCTCTTTATTCTCAAATTTTAACATATTCAGATTCAAACTGAGGGTGCTGGGAGGGGCTTGTATTAAAGCTGTCTGTTTGCCATTATAACTCTGGGTATAAACTCCTATAAAGATTTCGGAAATTAATTTCAGAGCTAGTGTGGCCATGAACAGGGTGATCACACTGAATTTTGGGAAAGGAGGTGAAATGGCTCCCACAAAGTACTACTGCCCCTTTAACAAGTAGATGAGTCCATTGTGGAGAGAGTCAAGATGCTTCTGTCGTTGGTATAGAAAGGATCCGATGTACTCCATGATCTAAAGTAACAATAAGAGAAAAGTTTGGCTCACCAGGACCTATGTTTTAATTGAGAAAAAAATTTAAAACTGAGGACCCAAGTGCAATCACTGACTGATTCATTTAAATGCTAAAGAGAGGTTCTTCATACTAGTACTGAATGCCCAAACTTTATATTCTATAAAACCTTGGGAAAAATAATGCTCTAGTCATCATATAAAAATATTAGCCAAAATTCAAACATTCATGAGCATTAAAACAGTTTCTATATGTAGTAAAGCATGAGATGCTTTTAAAATCTTTTACTGAGAAGTTCAGTTTACAAAACAAACCCAAATCTCACTTACCAAAAGCTCTGGAATGAAATAGTAGTATGTTCCTATTATTGATCATTTCTTTTCACCTGTAAATCTTATTCTAAAGACTTTAGCATAATTAGCTTGAATGTAGTGAATGATGTATCCAAAGTTATCAAAGACATCTGTAGGTCACTAGTGTTTTAACGATGAACAAACAATTCTCTACTGGTCTGGAAAAGTTAACTCTGTCTGAATGATAAGGCCCTAAAGCAATTCATTACATAATATTTTGTGTGCAGCTGTAAACTTAAATTAGCTTGAGTTAATTTAAGCGAAAATAACTCAAGACCAAAAGTGGCCTGCCATGCTTAAAACAGACCAACCTAGTTCAAGGACAAATTAGGATTACCAAGTGAAAGGTTGTTTTCTTCTGAGACTAAACACATTTAACAACAAATACATTTTATGTAACTTTTTCCAGGACTCCCACATTCCCTAAACAGAGAGGTTACAGGAAGAGATGAGCATTAAAAATGGCCCCAATTCCCCCTTGTCAAATATTTTCTCTTTCCCAGAGACGCTAAGTTTGTATGTAGGTAGCTCAACTTTAATTTGACCAGTTTCTAGAAAAGCTTGAACAGGATCTATCTGAGGTCAGGGAAGGGCTTGTTCACTACTGCCTCTCTAGCATCTAGGACTGTGTCTGACACATATTAGGCACCTTGTATTTGTAGAATAAATAAAATGAGAAGATGAAAATTTCTTAAAGAGTAAGTATTTACAGGGGAAAAGTATGCTTTTAACTGTAACAACTATCAATACCCTAATTATCTGGAGTCAGATGTCCAGTTTCAAACTGCCAATACTTTATATGAGTTTTTCTTCTGTCCACATTGCTTACACAGAAGAATCTTATTAGGTAAAGTATCCTTCACTTTTAATTTATATAATTTTTGACAGAACACATTAAACACTTCAACTACATATTAACTACTAACAACTTTCTATTTAGAAGATAGTTTTGATTAGGATAAAGTAACTTGTTAGTAATATACAAACAGAAAATCTTTTATTGCTGAAAAACAGTTTGTTAGGGTGCAACATGGCATACCCTTTATATAGCACCATGATGCTCCCTTTGAAACTGAGCTTGCAATATTGGATACTTCGTTGACAACATCAATTAGTAAAATATAAGTTGAATTTCTGTGCCTGAATGGTGAAAATTTAACCACCAAGAAATCTGTCATATAAAAAACACTGGTGGTATTTCTCAAATGATGCCCATTACTCTTGAGTTTAGTATGTCAATGGGACAAACCACCAAGGGCTTCCACATTTTGTAAGGGCAGTCTCAGCCTTGCCCTACCTTTTGAATTAGACATGAAATAGAAATATAGATTAGATGCTGCTCTAGAGTAAAAACGGAAATGCCCAACACATTTCACAAATACAATTATATGTAAAAAACAAAAACAGAACTCTATGTATCAAAATGACTTTGAAAGTTTAAATATCATCTTAATGCATCTATGGCAATTTTCACATAGCCCTTGAAAAGCACCAGGTAGCTTGGTGTTATTAAATGACTTTATCCCCTAGAAAAGAATGAACAGATCTGAAAAGACTTTCTAGATTATTCACATGAGGAAAAAGGTAAGAAAATAATAGTAATATATATATAATAGTAAATAATATTAGTAATATATAGATTAATAGTAATAATATAACCTGTGATGTTGGACAAAAGTGGAAGGGCATTTAGTCTGTCAAATATGATACTAATAAGTTAAACATTTTATTAGGAATAAAAAAAATCAGACACAAAGAATATAGCCCAATTTTAAGTGAAAAGAAGTAGAGATGATAACAGCTACCTTCAAGAGAACATGTCAAAGTCAATTCAACACCTCCTGGGGCAAGTTCAAAAGGGGTAATGCTGCCTCAAATGGCTACGTAAAGAATAGTGCGGGCATATTACCCACATAATTGGTATCAAGAAAATGGATATATGTATACAGCAGAAAAAATTTGGGGCTAATTTAATATTCCAGTGTTAAGAAAATCATTACCAAAATATGTATTGTCATTAAAGAGAAATTTCCACTGAAGCAGAAGCTGAAAAAATTCTGTAGAGGTTCTATTGTACCTTAGTCTAACTCCTATCTTGAGTCTGTGCAATCAAGCTGTATTATTAGGTAAAATATTATTATAAATCAAGCTCTTTTGGAAGTTCCTTTGGGAAACTTGCTGGCCTAGGTACATGACAGAGCTACATTTTATAATACAATTATATAAATCATAACAAAGTCCCAGAGTTTAAGTGCTCACCCTTCTACATGGAATGAAATTACTGCAAAATGGTATCACAGCATTATGGAAGTATTTTAGATCACGTTATAATCAAGTCAGAATAAATGGGGATTCAAACCATAGACATTATGTTAACATAAGAATGCTATTTCTAAGTTTAACTGTATCATAAATACACAGTCAAGCTAAAGGTAAAGTGGGAAAGCTCACCAGTAAAAGTTACCTGAATTTTATAATAGATGAATGATATCATACTCATCGCATTTTTAAAACACAAAGCTAACTAAATAATAAAAATCATTTTTTCAGTAGGTAAGAGTAGTGCCTTCTTCACTCTTTATAACCTGTTCCTGGGATAATTTCCAAACCCTGGCGCATACAGAAATGGCTCATATTCACGGAGCACGTTTGGGACAAGGGGAACCAACGTCTCTCTCTGCCCATGTGTACCCTCCATGCATACCGTGTACTGCTGCCCTGATGTTGACAGTATGGTATCATTCACCTAAATAACACCAAGTGCAGAAAAAGCTATTTCTACCCCCTTACATCCTCTAAATAGTGATGTAACTTTTGGGAAAATGTATGAATAAATCAATTCATTGCATGTATAAATAAATTTTAAATGGCGTTTACCAAAATACAGTATTTTTTTGTTATGGTGCACGACAGCAGGCACCTGTTCTAACGCATACATTTTTAATTAGACACTAAGTACCAAGCAAAAGAAATTAAAAATAATGACTCATTTCAAAACTTCATTACAGACATAAGAAGAGGCAGGGGAGCAGAAATACAATCTTTTGTGTTTATAAATACCTCAAAACCTCAAATAAGCGACTGGAAAATATACATAAAGGGTAAGAAAAGGAAAGCCTTTGACTTCACTGTTATGTTGAGATTATTTTGTAAGGACGAAAAGCAAAAAGAATAAAAAATAAAAAGCAGGAAATAGTATACGTATAATTTTAAAAAGTTATACAAACCATGAGAGTACCATATACACATCCTACTGAGCACAGTTTAGAAAGATTATGAAACAATTTTTTAGTCATTAGATGAAGTCTCTTCAAAGGTGCTTTCTCTTCCTTTGTGAGTGAAAAAGCCCTAACCCCAAAGCCACAAAGTGAAATCTACCACTAAAGAGAGCTAATAAATAGCAGACTTCCTGCTTTAGTTGGTAAAAGCAGCTGCTGACTTATTAGGTATCTAGAGCTGCAGGTTCATCCTGTTCCAGATAGGATACTCATTTGCAGCAAAGGCTACTTAGAGAGATTTCACACCTGCTGATGTGGGTCGGACTACATCTTCCTATGACTCGTTCCAGCATTCTTCCAATAGATGCGCACGCTGCTTCTCCTTCTGGGAAACAGCATATGGAGTCCAAGCACTTGATACCTGCATTTGTTTCAGCAAGCTGGGGGAGGTGAGGCAGAAAGCATTAGTTGTTTAAAAATCTGGGCCTCTGAAAAGCATTACAAAATTACATCAAGCACTTTCAAATCAAAGGTAACATATATAAATACACGTTTTTCTATAATATGGGAAATATATAAAGGGCTTTAATTTACTAGAGTATAACCATCCAAAATTATTTTAAAGCCTTGTATCCTAAATCAGAGGTTTGACAAAATAATTATATAAATTAAGAAGCTGGGTATTATCTAAATCTATTTTTAATATTTTATTTTACTCATTTATTATGGTCAAAATGATTTACATAAATCAATCAGGAATGTAATGAATTCTAATTCTTCATGTAGTTTTTGTTTAGGTGAAGTGCTCCTGCAATTTCGATTGAAAATGTCTAGCAATTAAGATAAGTGGAATATGAACTATCTCAAAGACTGGGAAATACCAACTAGGCAGAACCTAGCCCCAATCTTCAATAACAACAAGCAAACACTTTATGTAAACTTTACTAGTGCCAGGTTCTAAGCACTCTATAGATATCCACTCCACACTTATCTTTAAAAAAAGCATCATCTATCATAAATTGCTAAAAACTTTTAAAATGGCAATCATCCCATCATCAGCTCATGATTAACATTTATTAAAGAAGTGAACAAGTAGTAGTATCAAGATTTGAAACTGAATTACTTTTTGAGTATGCAAGATTTAGGTTGATTCAGGCATAAATAGCCCAGAAAGACAATTTTATTCCATACTACTGACAATGTTAACTGAGCTAAAATGAGGGCGGAAATGGTGTGACCATGCAGGTGGATGAATCCCAACCCTTGTTTTACTTGTCAAGGATGCTCTTACATTTTTCAAGGGCTGTTGGTTTTTTAAAAAAACTTAATTCACTTTCTTTTACACATATAACATCCTGCATAGCACATCTTTTGAGGATAGAGGAGGAGGAGGAGAAATGAAGGGTTGCGCTTCCAGGAAGGTTGGGAATCACCATGTGCTGGGCTCAGGCAACAGAGGACGTTTGTGGAGATGCTCACAACAAACAAGAGAGACAGATGAGGTGGAATAGACACAATCTGGCATTCTGAACATAAGCAACGGCTAATGTCCTGCAAGATCCCTGCTCAGAAGATTCTGCCCAACACCACGAAGTGTGAAACAACGTGGTTCTTATCTGGCAACTGCCTAAGCACTTGAGGGAAAGCCAAACTTGACTTGTTCTTTCATTACAATACCCTTAGTTTAGGATTGTTTAGGGCACTGTTTCTTAAACTGTTTTGTGAGACATTTACAGACATTTCATGAAAAAAAAAAAAAAAGGTCTGTGTTCAATTAAATTTGGGAAACACCAATTTAACAAAGTTCTAAACAGACTTTTAAAGTAGCGGACTGTCAAGTCAGGACACACGGTCACCTGCATGGGGGAAGCCTGAGATATCACAATTCTCCCACTCATTTTCTTAGTGGGAGAAACCTATACCCCCAACCCCCAACCAGGAAACATTAAGCAGCACCAGGAGGATCATTCACATTCAGAGGAATAGTTTAGGAAATGCTTGTTTAGGTAACAGGATTTCATCAGTTTTCCAGTTTCCTCTTTGGGTCCCTGGGCTTCAGTTTCCCCAATCTCAAATTTACCCCTTGTAGCAACCTGGACTCCAGGGCTCCGACATACTCAGAGGATAAAGCCCCACACCCATGAAGCCTTGAAGGCTTTCCAGCCTGACCGCAGGCTGCCTTTCCTGCTCTGCTTCCCAGTGCTCTGGTACAGGCTCCACTCCAGCCAACCAGGCAGTGTTCCCTGCCCGTGGGTACGTGTCAGGGCCTGCCATCAATCAGGGTCAGAATGCTGACCCCTATACCAGGGTTCAGCTTAAATCCCACTGTCTCCATGAAACTTCCCTCACCTCTCCAATTATGAGTATCTCTTTCTCCAATTCTATTTCACTTATTTGTATCACTTAATCGGCACAAGCACTTAAACTTCTATTTACTGAGCCAAGGTCCTGTGCCAGTTTCCACAGGGGATAGTAACCTGTGCTCAATCAGCTGAGCAAAAGGTAAGGAAGAAGGCAGGAGAGGACCAGTCAAGACGCACCAATACAGCAGTTACGTTAATGGAGTGCTCACCACGTATACCCCAGCGACTAGGTAAGATTCTTCTCGCAGATTGTCTCACTGAAAACTTACAACAGCTCTGAGGAATAGGCACCATGATCACCCCCAGTTTACAGATGAGGAAACAGTTAAGAATTTGTTCAGGGTCACCCACGTCAGCTGGGGCTTGAATCCTGCAGAGCCCAGCCCCCTTTACCATGCCACTATCTTGCCTTCTAAGAGGCAGACGACTCAGAAAACAGAAGGGAAAGCTCAAACCCAGCTGCCGTTAGTGGACTGGTGGGAGGGCATGAAAATCTGATGGAAAGGGTGGCATTTAAACCGCATCTTAAAGGACTGGGGGGCATTTCAATAGCAGGAGATGGGGAGAAAGGATATTCCAGGCTGACTGAGGAGAAAAAGTGGCTGTGTGTGGGCAGCAGTGTGGTGTGTATTCAGCACACGCTTAGCCTAAGTGTAAGGGAGTGGTACTGTCCCCTTGCAAAAAGACCAGTGGTGACTCAAAGTGTGATCCATGGATCAATGCTGATCCGTAAACACTATTACCAGCCCATAAAGAAATAAGCATTTCTAATCTGTGAGAATAAGAGCTTAGAAATTTTTACAGCAGTTGGACAAAGTAAGTTTATAACTGTTAAATTCAATAATTTAAAAACTGTAGTTTATGTATCTCTTAGATTTCATTTTCCTATAATTCATTTTTACTGTATTTGTAAAAGCACTGGCTTAAGATGAACTGGAAATTAAAAGAAAACAACACCAAACTCGTCCTTCACCACATTTATTTGGGGAGAACTAAACCAGAAACTCAAGAGAGCAAGGATCTTGGTCTGACATTTTTTAGTTTAGCAACATGTGTCGACTGGAAGGGATTCATCGAGGATGACACCCAGGAGGGAACCAGCATTTGAATATCCATGTATGTGCAAGACACTGCCCTGGTCTGGATCTGACCTTATGTAATTATCTGCATTCATCATCTTTCACTTTATCTTAGAGACAGGGTCTTGCTCTGTCACCCAAGCTGGAGTGCAGAGGCATGGTCAATCATGGCTCACCACAGCCTCAACCTCCTGGGCTCAAGCAATCCTTCCACCTCCGCCTCCTGGGTAGCTACTACAGGTGTGTGTCGCCATGTCAGGCTAATTTTTAATTTTAGTAGAGACAGGCTCTTACTATACTGCCCAGGCTGGTCTCAAACTCCTGGCCTCCAGTGGTCCTCCCGCCTCAGCCTCTCAAAGTGCTGGGCTTACAGGTGTGAGCTACTGAGCCTTGTCATCCTTCACTTTAAAACTGAAGGACAGTTATTAAAATAAGGACATCCCAACAGAGAAGGTAAACATCTTGAAATGTCAAAAATTTTAATAAATGACTTCTTCAGATCACCTTTTGAACTAAATATATTTTTGTGTATATAAAATTTGTACATATGTTTCCTTTTTCCTCTAAAGGAAAAAAAAAAAAAAAAAAGAGCTGCTTTTTTTTTTTTTTTTTTTGGTAACTGAGTCTCACTCTGTTGCCCTGGCGGGAGTGCAGTGGTGCAATCTCAGTTCACTGCAACCTCCTCCTCCTGGATTCAAGCAATTTTCATGCCTCAGCCTCCTGAGCAGCTGGGACTACCCGCATGCACCAACACACCCAGCTAATTTTTTGTATTTTAGTACAGATGGGGTTTACCATGTTGCCCAGGCTGGTCCTGATTTCCTGAGCTCAGGCAATCTGCCCACATCAGCCTCCCAAAGTGCTAGGATTACAAGCATGAGCCACCACACTCAGCCTCACCTGAACGTCGGCTGCTTCTGTAAAGCTATCTACAGAAAATGCTGTACTGTTCTCTAGCAAACCTCCAAGCTCTACTACTTTCCCACACAGACATCTTTGATCTCAATATTCAGTAACTGGGAGCTTGGCGAGAACACCTGTGTAGCCACAGCTGCCAATGTAATTGGGGGAAGGGGAGAGGAATGCAGCGTTTAGAGCTCTTTTCATTCAAAGTAAGGAGAGGAAATCATTACCTTTTTTGGGAGACCACTTATAAATGACAGAAAAGAAAAAACAGCATAGTAATGGGAGTGAGACCCTACAGGGTGATACCAAGAGGTCACCTTTAATTTATCAGAAGTTTTGACTGGTAAGCCTCACTTTCTACCACACTTGCTCCCAGGAATGACCACATAATATAGTGCTAAAAGGCTGTCAAGCAAAACAACTATGTCTATTCAACATGACTACGCACAGCTAATACAAATGCTCATCTTCACAGAAATTGCCTTTTGAAATAAATTCTGGCTGCTTTTATTTCCACTATTTTTCTATCAATGACAGTAAACACTTAGATATTTATCTTATTGCTTACACAAAATTACTTTCCTGAAACCTAACAACCTTCCTTAAATCTTATAAATTTTAGAAAACTGTCTTACATTTCTAACACTTTTTTAGTCATGTCTATGACATTCTAGCAAATCAAATAAAGGTTTTTGTTTTTGTAAGTTTAGATAATAACTGTCCAACAATTAACCATGCTAGGTCTTTTGCCCTTAAAGGTGTTTTATTTATTTTTTGAGACAGTGTCTCGCTCTGTTGCTCAAACTGGAGTGCAGAGGCATGATCTCAGCTCAGTGAAACCTCTTCCTCACGGGTTCAAGCAATTCTCCTGCCTCAGCCTCCTAAGGTGCTGGGACTGCTGGCATGTGCCACCATGCCCAGCTAATTTTTGTGTTTTTAGTAGAGACAGAGTTTCACCACATTAGCCAGGATGGTCTTGATTTCCTGACCTTGTGATCCGCCCACCTCAGCCTCCCAAAGTGCTGGGATTACAGGCCACTACACCTGGCCACAGTGTTTTATAATAATCAAAGTAAGTACCTTGCATAGTCT